CACGTGTTGTTTAGTATGCTTTGACCTTCTGTTGTATAATTCATGTACATCCAATGTTTTCATGATGGTTTTTTGATGATTGCATCCTTTTTCACCATGAAAACTAATTTATCTAATTTATCGCCAAGGCAGTGTTTTGTGCTCAGCATTTTCATGACAAAATTTTCCAGCGTCTGAATTGTTTATATCTTTATTTTAAAAGTATATGTGCTTTTCTTTCTTAAATGTTTTATGGGTGGATGCAGCTATTTTAGGCATAATAATATTCTTTTTTAAAAAAACTTTACATTCTATTGTGTTTGAAATTTTTGATATATTTTAAGATTAAGCACAGTACTTTGGTATGCATTTTATATTTTCCCAGTGGGTTGATTATTTCCCTATTTCTTCCATGCTGGTGTACTTATTTCATTTTATGTTGTTGAGACTGGGATGAATTTTTCTTAGTCTTTGCCTGTATATATTTATGTTCCTATTATTTTCATTAAGTTTTCTACTCTCATTCTGAATTACAAATAATATGGTTATTTTCTCATATGTAATGCCTTTATCTCTCTCTCTCTCTCTCTGTATGTCTTCTGTTTTTATATTTAGTTTTCAGCAACATACTCTCTTCCATCTACATATAATTGTCTTTGTGTTTATCCTGATGCATTGGCCTGTTTATATCACTAATGTCATCAACTCTGTAAACTTCTCAACTATTATTGCTTCAAATGTTTCTTCTGCCTCATATTCCCTCTCTGTCTCTCTCTGTTTCTTCATCCATCCATCCCTCTCTTCTTTTTCTTTTATTCATAGTTCCAGTTATGATTGTGTTAGATTTTAATATTTTCCCTCTAATATCAAACTTTATATACTGTCCTTTAATGTTTTGTGTTTGTCTGAGTTTAATTTGTCTTCCAATTAATTTGTCTGCAAGTCCAATGATAACTTTCTTCTGCTTTGTCTAATTTTCTGTTAGGTATATTTAATGATTTTTTTTATCATTTAGAGCATTCTAAACAATTTAGAAATTGTTTCTACATTTCATCTAAATTTCTTAATCTCATATGTTTCCCATGTTTTCACTAGATACTTCAGTATTCTTATCAAAGTATTATATTCTTCTTTGTAATTTTAACATTTAGGGTGTCTTTGTGTCTGTTTCTGTTCGTTTCTATATGGAAAGTTGGCCAACTTTTCTTGCTTTTATAGGTCTTTTGGGAATTCTAATTTTATATGGAATATTTTTAAGCAAAGGATAAAGTAACATATATTTTTTAAAAATAGGATGATATCTGTCTTCTTTCAGTCTGAGAATGGGGACTTAATCCATAAGTTCAGCAATTAACCTGTGTGGTTGGTAACAATGTCCTTGTGATTCAGTTCACCACAGTTTCAAGGGGTTTGAGGAGATCTGGCAATTTTCTATTTAGTAAGACCTGGTATCTGAGCCCTACATTGGCTTCAAAGTTCTATCTCTATTTTTCAGATAAATCACCTGATTTCCAAACTTATAGAAATGTCACCCTGCTCTAAGAATGCTGCTGCCTACATTTCTTGAGAGATATCTTTGATCTCAAATCTCACAGGTGACTTTGTTTATGGCTGCAGTTGCTTCACAGTCTACGAAGGTATAGATTTCTTCTAGGAAACTTTCTCAGATGTCGAATGCCTCTCCAGGTATTCTATGTTGATAAATATCAGTATAAAAAGGGATTGAACTTATCTCTTCTTCCCTTAGTCTTCTATAGAGGATATACATGAGTAGCTTTGTTTTTCTTTTCATTTCCCCCTCCCCCCTTAAATCTCTTCTGCATTTTTTCTTTCCTTTCCTAGCAAAAAAAGAAAGAAAAAAAAAGTAAGGTTGCCTGAGGGCTAAACCTTGTTTGTTTATTTGTTGCAGTGAAGGGGATTGAACACAGGCCCTTACCCCTGCTAGACAAGCACTTGAACACTGAACATGGAGCTATAATCCCAGCCCTACCTGCAGGTTTTCTTTCCTTCTTCAATTCTTTGTTATCTAGAAATATGGACCAACTAAGGGAAATTTTACCTATTCTCTTTCCATGCCTATATTTTTAAGCTAATATGCTCAAGATTTAATGAAGACCAGTGTGAATGAGCTAGGGGTTAATACTTTTTTACTATGCCACCCTGCACATGATTCTGAAAAGTTTATTTATATACAGGCAGGTTTACCTAATTTATGCCAGATAGGCCATTTATTTCCTTTTCTCTTGTGAGGTAGGAGGACTGTTACTTCTGAAATATAGGTACTTTCACTTTCTTTGTATTCACCTGGCACAGTGGCACATGCCTATAATCCCAGCTACTATGGAGGCTGAGGCAGGAGGATCTCAAGTTTGAGGCCATCATCAGCAACTTATAAAGATCCTGTCTCAAGATAAAAAATAGAAAGTGCTGGTGTGTAGCTAGTAAGAGCTCCTCTGGGTTCAATCTCAGTACCTAAATAAAATCTAAAAGATGTATTTGCCCTCACAGCATTATGATGTTATTCTTTCTTAAGAATATGATGTTTTGCTTATTCAGCTTGTTTTTGTTTTTAAGGTGACACTGGTTGCCTCTTTGACTTTCTACATCCCTACCAGCACTTTCTATTTTTTATCTTGAGACAGGATCTTTATAAGTTGCTGATGATGGCCTCAAACTTGAGATTCTCCTGCCTCAGCCTCCATAGTAGCTGGGATTATAGGCATGTGCCACTGTGCCAGGTGAATACAAAGAAAGTGAAAGTACCTATATTTCAGAAGTAACAGTCCTCCTACCTCACAAGAGAAAAGGAAATAAATGGCCTATCTGGCATAAATTAGGGTGAACAGAAACCTGCCTGTATATAAATAAACTTTTCAGAAATATTGTTTAAATGCGTAGTAAAACATGACAAAAATATTCATACTTACCTACAGATAATATCATTTCCATTGTTTTTCATCTGTTTATAGAGATTGAAGTTTCTTCTATCTGATATAGGTTTTCCTCAGTCTAAAGAAATGATTGTTTACATTTCCTTAGATCCTGCTAGTCCTGAAACTCTCCAATAATATCTTGAAATATCTCCAATAATATTTTTATTGTATTTTAATCTTTTATAGAAAGACAGTCTTTCCAATGTTTAGGCATTTCTTTTTTCTTGTAGCACTTTAAAGATGCTTTCAGTGTCTTCCATCTTGCTTTGTTTATAAAGAGGAGTTAGTAAGGTATCAGCAGTTACTTTTACTTTGTCCACCTCACCTTGTTATAATCTTTTACTTCTGTATATGCTTTTAAGGGTCTTCCCACTGTACATTGAAATCTACAATTTGATAATAATGTGTCTCGATATGGTTGAACTTGGATTTATAGTTGTTGTTGTTGTTTTTAAATTTTACTTGGAAGCTTGTTTTTCAAATGTATTTCTGCCCCACTGCCTTTTGCTGTCAATCCATTTATGTTCACATTGACTTTTTAAGATTGTCCTACATATCACTGGATTTTTGTTCGCTTTTCTGTCATTTTCTTTTTAAGATCCCTGTTTACAATGCTCCACATCTATTTCCCTAGCTCCACCTAACTAGACCACTGGAAATTTTTATTTGATAACTTTCACCTTCTTGGTGTTCTGCCTCACAAATGCAGGCCACCACGGCTTTGCACTCCAGTCTCTGCCTCTTCAGGTTAACAGGACTGATCTTGTTTTCCTTGTCTTGCCTCCTTGAACCATAGCTTGGAAGGTGAATCCTGAAGAAAGTAGAAAGTTCTTTTTTTTTTTTTTTAAATTCACTGTCTCATGGATCATGGTTCTGTGCTTAGTTATTTCCAATGTCTAAAAACTGTTGTTTTATATATTTTACACATTTATTTGCTGCTCATTTTGGAAAGGCTATTTCAATATTAGTTGTTCTCTCATGAACAGAAGCCTATTTGTTGAGAATAATAATTCTTATTAATTATTAGCATACTTCATAGTGCATAAAATAATTCTGAATTATAAGAGAGTTTTCATTTAGAAAACTTAAGTACAATATTACTGGACTAATTGTAAATTCTTATTTATATTCAATTAAAAAGTTGGATGATTTTCTACAGCTATTTTCACTCTGGGTATTTAAAACACATACAGTGTGTGATACTTTTCAATTATATTTCTGTTGCTACTTTTATTTGGGGGTTTAATTTCAATATCATATAATTAAGATCAAAGTGGAAATGGAAATTAAGTATTTATTATTTTTAAAACTAAATTAGAAATTGCTAATGTTTTAAAAGAAGAAAACCAGAATGTGATATCAATTTAATCTCAAGCATTTTAATAAAGGCTTTCCATAAATTATCTCCAAAATTCATATTTTTAATTAACAGAATGTTCTAATATTTAGGGAACTTGTTGATTTTGTGGTAAGTTTTCAACCTTGTTATTTTGAGAATTAAAATATTGTGTTTTGAGATACAATGTAATGGTTGTATGGTAGTATGAGTAAATAATGGATAAATTATTGAACATACTTCAAAAGTATGCTACAAGTTCAATTTCATGGCAAATATTACCTTTTATTGTTTCTATTTAGGATAGTGAATCAAACGACTTGCAAATCCTTTGGTACACCGCTAATCTTTGGACCTTACATGAAAAAGGGGTTCTTCGGGACTTATGGAGTTTTTTCCCTGAATCCTAGCTCTCTAATATGGGTTAAATGTGTCTGTTTTGTGTACCCATGGATTATCCTGGACATATTTTTAAAATGGCACTTAATTTACAGAATTATAGTAATCAGATCAGATTTTTTTTTATTTTTCCAATTTGACTTTAAATCTTATGAAATTGTGAATATTATATAATTCATCCTTAGTGCCCATTATAGCCTCTAGTGCAGAACAGATATTTAATAGTCACTTGTTTTACAAAAAACATAAAATTATTTTTGTATTCCAATTTGCATAAAATATTATTCAGGTAGAAATAAGAACATTACTAAAATGATTAGATACTAACACTATATTTTTATCTTATCTTACAGGTTCTTAAATCTGATCTACAATGGAAAAATTTCTTTTTTATCTGTTTTTCATTGGCATAGCAGTGAGAGCTCAGATCTGTCCAAAGCGTTGTGTCTGTCAGATTTTGTCTCCTAATCTTGCAACCCTTTGTGCCAAGAAAGGGCTTCTATTTGTTCCACCAAACATTGACAGAAGAACTGTGGAACTGCGTTTGGCAGACAATTTTGTTACAAATATCAAAAGAAAAGATTTTGCCAATATGACCAGCTTGGTGGACCTGACTCTATCCAGGAATACAATCAGTTTTATTACACCTCATGCTTTTGCTGACCTACGGAATTTGAGGGCTCTGCATTTGAATAGTAACAGATTGACTAAAATCACAAATGATATGTTCAGTGGGCTTTCCAATCTCCACCATTTAATATTGAATAACAATCAACTGACTTTAATTTCTTCTACAGCATTTGATGATGTGTTTGCCCTTGAGGAGCTGGATCTGTCCTACAATAATCTAGAAACTATTCCTTGGGATGCTGTTGAGAAGATGGTTAGTTTGCACACCCTTAGCTTGGATCATAATATGATTGATAACATTCCTAAGGGGACTTTCTCCCACTTGCACAAGATGACTCGGCTAGATGTAACATCAAATAAATTGCAGAAGCTACCACCTGACCCTCTCTTTCAGCGAGCTCAGGTCCTAGCAACCTCAGGAATCATAAGTCCATCCACATTTGCACTGAGTTTTGGTGGAAACCCCTTGCATTGTAATTGTGAATTGCTCTGGCTAAGGCGTTTGTCTAGAGAAGATGATCTGGAGACCTGTGCTTCTCCTGCACTTTTAACTGGCCGCTACTTTTGGTCAATTCCTGAGGAAGAGTTTTTGTGTGAGCCTCCCCTCATTACTCGTCATACACATGAGATGAGGGTCTTAGAGGGACAAAGGGCAACGCTGAGGTGTAAAGCCCGGGGAGACCCTGAACCTGCAATTCATTGGATTTCTCCTGAAGGGAAGCTTATTTCAAATGCAACAAGATCGCTGGTGTATGATAACGGAACACTTGACATTCTTATAACAACTGTAAAAGACACAGGTGCTTTTACCTGTATTGCTTCTAATCCTGCTGGGGAAGCAACACAAACAGTGGATCTTCATATAATTAAGCTCCCTCACCTATTAAACAGTACAAATCATATCCATGAGCCCGATCCTGGTTCCTCAGATATCTCAACTTCTACTAAGTCAGGTTCTAATGCAAGCAGTAGTAATGGGGACACTAAAATGAGTCAGGATAAAATCGTGGTGGCAGAAGCAACTTCATCTACAGCACTACTTAAGTTTAATTTTCAAAGAAATATTCCTGGAATACGTATGTTTCAAATTCAGTACAATGGTACTTATGATGACACCCTTGTTTACAGGTAAGAAAAATTAAGTAAATTTAAATAGCAACCATGCATCTTTGTGTAAGGCTTATTAATGTACTCCTGATGCTTTCAAATTGGCAATGTTATTCTGTGTTGTAATTACAATTCTCAGTTTTAAAGTGCATAATGTAAGGCTTGAAAATGTGGTGGATATATATGGGGAAATCTTCTGAATGGTGTTATTTTTAAAGAGTTCAAATTTATATTTAATATTATGCTTATTTTTTTCACCTCATCTAAGAGATGTGACTATCAGAGAAAAAGATTGATTTAAGTTAAAAATTCAAAAACATACCAGAACTTACACATCCACATGAGTGTTCTTTCCTTCAAGGAAGTCACGTTGGGAGGCTATACCATTATCCCAATGATGCTGCCATTGCTCAAAGCACTTTTGGAATTATCTTTAGAACCTTCGTCATACTATTTTGAATATACCCAGTTGTGGCAAATCTTCGTCTTTTGAGGGTGAATTTGAATTTTGGAAACAAGCAAAAGCCATTTGGAGTCAAGTCTTGTGAATAAGGTGGGTGATCAAGATGGATATTGCCATTTTTGGTCAAAAATAGGATGTAACTATAAAATAATGAGACTGATTCTTTGAATAATTGAGTCATGTGCATGGGTGTTGTCTCATGTGCACTGGTTCTTAAGACAGTTCCAAAGAGATAATTTATAAATATTTTGAGCAGTGAAGGTATCACTGGAATTAAGTATACAATATCTGGGTTAGGACAGTGATGGAGAATTTGCATCTGCTGATGAATTTCTGGTATGTTTTTCTAAAATTCAGCCTCATTGATTTATAGTCACATCTTGTCCAATTTTCAGTTGGAAATACTTATTCCTTCCTATAATTTCACTGGTGATAGGCTGTTACTGCTCTTTGGAAAAGATGCAAAATTATGATTTTGAAAGGATTATTGTTTTGTTTTTAAGCTTTTCCAGATATCAGGTCAGTTTCATCCTTATATACACAGATTAAGCTCTTGATGACAGTTTGGTTTTCACTCATGAATGGAAAGGAGAATATGTTTTTAAAGTAAGCGTGAATTAGCAAGAAAAATAAAAGTATCCTAGCTCTCCTTGTGATCAATCCTGGCAAGGTTCTACCTGGCTGAGTTTTAATTTCCTCATCTTTAAAATGCAGAGATTAGACTAAGTGGTTTCTAATAGCCCCTTCATCACTGAGTACAGGTAGAGGTAGGCTATGATATATATCCATGTGAGCTAAACCTAGTTTGTTTGTTTCATAGCGGGGCTCTTGACCTAGCCTCTGGGCAACTTAATCAGTTTTCAATAACAGGCACTGACTCTACCCCTCAACTTCCTGTAGTTACTGGATATTTTATATATTTTAAGCATTCGCTCTATGAAATGTGATAATAGGTCAGGTTTTACTTGCTACATTCCAAGATTTTAATTCTGCCATGATGAGCAAATTCTCTGTGACCTTGAGGTAATTGTTCAGGCTTCCACCTAATGATTATCATCTGAAAATAGTGAAAATGCCTTTCTCATAAGGTCATTGTAAAGATTAAATTTAAGTATACAGAAAGGGCTTAGTAATGTCCTGCATTTTTATACACTCATTATATGGAAGTAGTCTGTCATAAGTACACTATCTGGCCTGAGAGCATCCTGGTTCATTTAGAACCCCTTGTTTAGGTGCTGCCACATATTAGAACTGCCAAGTTCTAAAATTTTTAAACTCACTAACAGGGGAAAGATAGGGTTAAAAGACAGGTTTTTTTTTTTCTTCTAAATTATTTTTTAGTGATGGCCCGAAGTTTTTATCTGAGAAAAAAAAATGTGGAAAGAAAATAAGCACTCACAAAATACTTTTAAAGGGTGATAGCTTCAGAGATATCTATAAATTTCTGTCAAATTTTAGAAAATGTGCCTTGATAAAAATTTCCTTCAGTACAGAATGGTCAAGGGGCTTACACTCTGGTCAAAATCTGTCCCTGTTCCAGGGTGTTACTTGTGCATTTATACTCTCCTCATTTATAAACTGAAACATATAGCAGAGCAAGACATGGGAAAGGGATGAGATCTGTAAATAAAATGCTTTAATCTTTGTAATTATCTTAGTTATTAAAGACAGATTTAGGAGGTACCATTCCATAGCAGCTTATTACTGATTTGGAAAATAAATGCCCTGAAATGCATTTCCATTCTGCTTTCTAATGTGATTGTCAGTGTTTTCCCTTTCTTCAATTTGGCTTTTAGTCACAGAGGTGTTGTAAGTGCTAAATGGATTTGTTTAGCAGTCAGATAATGTCACAGTCACACCTTTCAAAAGCAATTTGTCATAAATGATTTTTCAGCAATGGCTTTTATTAGGAGTTCTGCTTTGCCAAGCAGTGTAATTAGTAAGCTTGTCAAGGCAGGGTGCAGGCACCATTAATCTAACGTGGACTCTGACAATGACTTTTAGCCTTTTAACTCGTAAATATAAGATTAGATCATATTCATTTATTTCATATCTGTTATAAATATGCTTACCTTAATGAGTGCTAAAATGAGACAGAACTAAATTTCTAATGACTTTGTGTGTGCATGTTTTATTTTGTTTTAAATATTAACACAAATTCCATTGTCCCTCAGAATGATACCTCCTACGAGCAAAACTTTTCTGGTCAATAATCTGGCTGCTGGAACTATGTATGACTTGTGTGTCTTGGCCATATATGACGATGGCATCACTTCCCTCACTGCCACAAGAGTCGTGGGTTGCATCCAGTTCACTACGGAACAAGATTATGTCCGTTGCCATTTCATGCAGTCCCAGTTTTTGGGAGGCACCATGATTATAATTATTGGTGGAATAATTGTAGCGTCTGTGCTGGTTTTCATCATCATTCTAATGATCCGGTATAAGGTTTGTAACAATAATGGGCAGCACAAGGTCACCAAGGTTAGCAATGTTTATTCTCAAACTAATGGGGCTCAAATACAAGGCTGTAGTGCAACACTGCCCCAGTCCATGTCTAAGCAAGCTGTGGGACATGAAGAGAATGCCCAGTGTTGTAAAGTTGCCAATGACAATGTGATTCAATCTTCAGAAACTTGTATGAGTCAGGACTCTTCTACCACTACCTCTGCTTTGCCTCCTACCTGGACTTCAAGCACGTCTGTGTCCCAAAAGCAGAAAAGAAAGACTGGCACAAAGCCCAGTACCGAACCACAGAATGAAGCTGTCACAAATGTTGAGTCCCAAAACACTAACAGGAACAACTCAACTGCATTGCAGTTAGCTAGCCGACCTCCTGATTCTGTCACAGAGGGGCCCACATCTAAAAGAGCACATACCAAGCCAAGTAAGTTTCTCACTTTGCCTGCTGAGAGATCCAGAGCGCAGCACAGGTATTCGCTGAGTGGAGAAGTAAAGGAATACTATTGCTTTGCTAATTCACCAAGCACACGTGAACTGTTCTCTAAAAGAAGCATGTCTGTGAATGGGATATTAATTCAGTCTGATGGTGCTGATGGTCCTAGTGGAAAAGTCACTCTTTGAAACTGAGAGGTTATCAGAAAGCTTTGTGTAATCTATTATTTCTTTTTAATGAAAACTTACTTTGGAAATTGAAATGCAGAACTTCAATCATCTGATAGGCTAGTAGAGCTCAGGTTACAAATCCACCATCTAAGATACAGTTATTATGCGTGTCTGTGTGTGTTTGTGTACACACACGCACACAAATGCTCATACACCTATATGAAAATTACATAGATAAAACGATTTAAAGGGGGGAAACCTAAGATAGCAAGAGTGCCTTCCCCTTTTTTAATACTGGCTTCCAGGTTCTGTGGTAGAAAATAGTAAAATGCAAATTGTTATGAGGAAAAAAATGTTTTGCATACAAAATTTTATTTCCTCCAATTCTAAAAATGGCCTCCTATGGATAACTGGGATTTTTCCATAAGTAGATTTTATATTTTTTACAATGAAAATTGTGTTGTAGCGAACAAGTCTGTGTTGTTATATTGTTTAAAATAAAATGTTTAATTATTATACCAAGACAATGCTAGAATAAGTACCCTTCTAAACAATGCTATTGTTTCCCGGTGTCTTGATGGTTATGTCATGCTCATTCCATGACACAGCTTTTTCGGTGGAAAGAATCTTGAATTTATCAGAAAATCTAATCAGTTTTGTGTCACAGGCCACAATTTTGTATGCATCTACCTGGGCATATGAAGATGTTTTCATTCATTCAACACAGTTGCTGAATGAATGTTTTATTTTTTTTTTTTAATGCAAGTTAAAGAGGAGGAGCCAAATATAGGACTGCCTTTATGAAAAGGGTGTTGATTTTTATCACCAAGTGAACTGGAAAACTTCTAATGGAGTTTTTATCACATGTTAAATAACATAAAATATTGCTCATTAACCAGATAGTGACTTTCCCCCTTTTGTGCTATATAATTCTACTTGTGAATGTTTTCCACTTAAAGTAAATGCATTTATTATTTTGACCAAATGCTAAATTTAATCAGATATCATGGGATTTAGTGAGGAATATATCATTTTTGTAAAGGATTTTAAAGTTACTCAGTAAACAATATTGTTTCTTAATAACATAGTATTCTTGGAAATTCATTGAAATTAAGATCTATAGATAAATGTCCTTATCTACTTGTTGGAAAAAAAGTAATATACTAACATGATGGTGTTTATTAATAATTAATAAGTGCTTTGAACATAAAAGTTTTTTTTCTTTGCTTTTTGTTTTATTTTCATTTTGTGTTGACGATATGGTTCATGTGCAAACTTAGACTCGTTACCTGGCACAAATGAATATGATATTTCATCCATTAACACATTCAGTGGGTACTTGATATATACCATATACTCCCTGGGAGTATGTTAAAATATACAGTAAACATTTATTAATTCTTTCAAATCATTTGCAATATCATTTAAAGCAGAAGTGCAGAATGTGAAATTATTAGTTTAATTTCCTTCTGGTAGAGACATATACAAAAATTTCAGTTAACTTTTACTCTATGGAGTTGCATCTTATCCTCTGTAATGTATTATTTTGTTGAATGAAGAGTATACACAGAGTACTTAGAAATGACTTTTCACACAGTCTTGAACAAAATTGTCCATGTTACGTTTCCTAAGTTGCTTTGTCGCTTCCCTGTCTGAGAAATTTGCCTTTCACATTTACAAGGGCTAATTATGATTCAATGTTCACAGAAATAGTTCTTTGGGAAATAAATCAGTTCACAGGTATGGATGTAGTTTGTGAAATCAAAAGCTATAGTCAAAGTGGTGTGTTTTCAAAACTCTTAGGCTAATAAGGTTCTAACTCAACTCTGCATTTTAAGTTAACATCAGTTATACTGTTTCTCATGAGATGATGATAATAAACATTAATCTTCCCCTTCACAGATTGATGAGAACAGTATTAAAAGGTCTTTACTGTACAACAGGTTGCAAGCTTTAAAGAAATAAATCCCTAAGGAAACAATTTCTGAAATCGGGAAGGATAAGAAGGGTCTGAGATTATGTAACACAGCAGTTTAGCATACCTTCTCCAAGCTACTCGTGAACTTATTTTATGATTTGCAGTTGCCATCTTTTTAAAAATGAATACCATGCTTGTTTATGTTATAAAGCTTTAATTAAAAACATCTTGTTTCTCATAGATATTTAAAAATTCTATGGTATCTAATCATTTGAATTTTGCTTTGCTTGACTAAAGTCATTGAAAATAATTCAATATTTTATTACTTTTGCTAGACTGTACTCAGATTTTATTAATCAAATGCATTCACATTTTGTCTTCAAAGTGAAGTTTTGGTATCTTTTACTAAAAGTTTATATTTTAAAAGATCAAAAATGATCTATGATAAAAGTCAAGTGTGTTTTATGTTTATTAACGATATGATGAAATTTTAACTTAGCGAGATAATGAATGCTACCTACTACAATGTCTGAAACAGAATAGTTGTTAAGATGAATGAATGAGCAAATGGATAGATAAATAAATCAATGGGGCTAGGGAGGGAGGTGGTAATAAGAATTTTGATTAATAAGCAAAATTAAGGTTTGTGATCAGATATTATATCACCGCAAAAAAAATAAATTTTGAGGGACTGGAAATATTTCTCAGTTGGTAGAGTCCTTCCTTGCCTCACATCATACACAAGGCCCTGGGTTCATTCCCCAGCACCACAAAAAAAAAAAAAAGAAAGAAAGAAAGAAAGAAAGAAAGAAAGAAAGAAAGAAAGAAAGAAAGAAAGAAAGAAAAGAAAAGAAATTCTCTTATATTTTTTTTCAATTTTTTGTTCTGTCACTTATGGCATCCCTTACTTACTCTGTCATATCCATCTATTTATTTATATAATCTAAATCATGTGGTCTGCTGTTTGTTAATGCTGGCTATATATAGAATTGATATGCTATTTTTATTTCTTTTTACTTACTTTTGTTTAATTTTTAGCCATTTTATATTATCAGCTTATTCAATGTTAAGTACAGAATTACAAAACACAATGTCTGCCATTAAGCATATTTTAACAGGCATTCATTGTAAACATTTTAAAAAATAATAAGGGTCTTTGTTATTTTTGTTCCTTTTGGATAATCATCCTCAAATTGAAAAATGCAAAACTACTGTTACAGTAGTGTCCTAGGGGTAATGTACAACCCAAAGTCACCTCAAAATTCCAAGAAGCAGCATTTGGTTTGATGAATATTTTAACTTTTAGGCTTCAAATAGTTTAAAATACAAAATGCTGAATTGAACTATTTAAATTAGATATAGCAACCAGTAACACTGACACTGTGACCAGTTTATTTCCTGTAGTTTTTCTAACAATTAATGGAATCAATTGAGTTCTCAGTACACTGTATTTGATTTAAAACCGTTGATTTTAACTACTTTGCATATTTGTTTTACTAAAAAAGTTTTAGAATGTTTCTAAAGTATTAATGGCTTTCTATAGATATAAGAAATCTATTCTCTTAAACATACTTTCTCCACAATTATTTGAAGATCCGCTAAAAATTAAATGTGTTCTATATTTACTTGTCTAAAGGAATATTTGTATTCCCCCCTTTTTGTGAACTATTTGCTCTGATTTAAAACTGTGGTACTTGCTTCCAACATAGTTTCAAATATTTTATTTGCTTTTATTTCTGAAAAGAAACTTCCACTTGTATACCTACAAATAATTAAGAGTAATTATTACAAAATTCATCTTAATTGCCTTTCCATTCATAAGTTTTAGTAATTCTATTCAGTTTATGTACAGTAATAAACTCCTATAATCTTTAAAATGCCAATAATGAAAAAGCCTATAAACATAAAATATCTTCTTTTAGGTAGGATAATAAAAGCAAATGAGACTTTTCTTCAAAGATAACAAATACAAGCCCATTGTTTTGGTAGGTTTCCAGTTGTATTTAAAAATGCTGGGGATGGGGTTATGGCTCAGCAGTAGAGAGCTCGCCTTGCATGTGCAAGGCCCTGGGTTCAATCCTCAGCACCACATAAAAATAAATAAATAAAATTTAAAAATAAATAAAAATGCTAAGCCTGGCTTGAGGCACATGCCTATAATCCCAGGGGCTCAGGAGGCTGAGGCAGGAGGATCTCAAATCCAAAGTCACCCTCAGCATCTTAGATAGGCCCTAAGCAACTCAGTGAAACCCTGTCTCTAAATAAAATATAAAAAGTGACTGGAGATGTGGCTCAGTGGTTAATTGCCTCTGAGTTCAATCCCCAGTACCAAAAAAAAAAAAAAAACCAACAATGTCCTTTCCTATTTCACAGAATGTGTATGATATGCTATCATCCCCTGCCCAGTATCTTCTTGGGTCACAAAAGCAGTGCAATGTTTCCATGGTAACCAAGGATGTTCCTGTGTGAGTGTGGACAGGGTTGACATAGTGGTGCATTGGATGGAAGAGTATGATTTTCTTTTCCTCTTAGCTTGTTAATAATGGTAATAATTATAATTTATCTTATGCTATTAGCGACTTTGAATATTTTATGGCAAAGAAATATGTCATTCACATTAACTCAAGGACAGACAACATAATAAAAATCAACAACTGGATTTTTGAAAGTTTCAAAGCTCTGCCTCTCAGATTACTCAGTCCTTTCCTTTCCATGTTAGATAAATATATGTTGGAATTATAAATGCAATTAGTTTTGTCAAGTATTTCTTTGTTCTTTTATTTATTTTAAAGGAAATAATGAATACTTCTTATACTAGTGCAGAAGACATTTTAAAATAAAAAAAATGGTAAATATATTCCTGTGATTGGGCCATCAAAAAAATGTGGTGCCATCTAAAGTTGGTTATAAAAAGTAACAGTTTTAACTGGGAATATATTTGTTTTAAATCACTTCATTAAGCAATGCTAATACATTTATAATTCTATCAAATGTTACAAATAATCAATATAACAAGATATTCAGTGTACCACTCTGCCTTCTAATTATGTTCAACTATTCCTAAGTAAAATTTTACAATCTAAAGTTAACATTAAATAAATCTATATATTCTTTATATGTATAAATCTGTATATATACTCTGTAATACATATGTACTCTGGATAAGAGTCATGTCTCTTAATTGTATATCTATGATAATATACACATAGATATACAATAAATTATTTAAAAGCACAATGTTTTTCATGTAATATTAATTTGTTATTTTGTGATTGATAAGATGAAATTAGATTTAAATTGCCTATCATAGATCTTCTCCAGGAAAATCAAATAAATTGTAATTTATCAGATAATAATGGTCTAGAAACTCTCCAGTATAAATTTATTATTTTAAATTTCCCATTGATAACCATATGTACCCAATTTCACCCATTCTTTTCAAATCAGTAACTCATATTTGTGAATTTTAAAAATGAGAAAGAATATATATTTCAAATAGATTCAGGAGAAAGTCATGGAGGCCTTTTCACTTAATGTACATGGAGTTCAAAGTGTTTGGACATTTAACTAACAATAGACTGTAGATATAATGATGCTCCAGAATATATCCAAAAATAATTTTATCAAGTGATAGAGCCTATGAGATATATTTGTATGCTCTACCATAATCAAATTCCCTAATCATTTTTTTCTCCATCATTTGGATGTCTCTTATTATTGTTTTCATGACAAACTTAATCACCAGTGGCCATTGTAAATTTACATGGTTATTTGTGAAGATTTGTAAGAAAATATTTTGTCCTAGTCTCATCATACTCATCTGTGAATCCTGATAATGACTGTCCTCTTAGACACCTATATTTTCTTATCCTTGCACCACTTCTAAATGATTAGTAGCATCTGCATACAAGAAGATATTTTGAAAAGAAATAGAATGTATGATATTCAGGACTGTATGATGGTATTAAACATTTATAGGTAATAGGCATATACATATGGATATAAAGGCAGAATGTTTGCATTTAACACATTACTTTTGCATAAAAATGAATGGATTCTTGACAAAAATATGCTATTGTTTGGAGAGTGGATATTAAATGATGGCTAATATTGTATTATTTTATATTCTGTGTGGTCAATATAGCTGAACTGTATTACTGTTGTGGAATATTTTTTCCTTGATGCACTTTTCCATATTAATCATATGCAACCATAGAGTTGAAAGACTAACTTTAAGCAGAGAAAAATGAATAGAAATCTGATTTTCTTGTATAACAAATATTCCCTATTGAAAATTATTCATTGTAGTTACTAGAACAATATATTTTGAAATTCTGCTTTAATAGTACTATGGTGAAGGAAATAGCCAAAAAGAAGTCTAAAATACAAGAGTCATTTGCAACTAACCCAGTAAGAGTTAAGACAATATAAATCAATCTTCAAGAGAAGTTACCAAGATTTCAGTGAGGAAGGTTTTAAAGGGACTGTTTCTTTAAAAAAAAAAAATTGAATTGTTCATGACACTGAAAATTTTATTCCCAGATGCTTTGCTGACTAATGTTGACCAGAATGTCCACGAAACACAGGTGAGAATCTTATTACCTGTAGCATACTTCAACCCTTAAGTGGATTTATTATTTTAAAGCTGAATTTTCTAACTTTTGGCTTGGAGTTTATGTAGCTTGTCAAAATTTTCCATTAAAAATTTTATTACATGTCTGATTCACACTGTAATAAACAAAAGTATTACTAATACTGCTTCACTCTTGTAGTTATGCATGATATAATTGATATTTTTTACAAATATTTCCAAACATGCAGACAGTAACTTGATAAGAATGAATTTGCTCCTATCTTTGACCTCCATGTCCTGAGAGGAGGTAAAAGGATACATTATACTTCATTGAAAATGGATGAACATAAGTGTTTTGCTGTTATCTAAAATGAATGAAGCCACTTTAAAGTGGAGCAAAATACTACACATGAAATATTCATGGTATTCCTTTTGTCAGCAACCAATTACTCTTCTTGAGTGTTTTTTTTTTTTTTTTCATTTTGGAAGTTTCAAATGAGTATTTGATTCCTGCATTTTAATTGGATCAGAAACTGTGTTTCCAGAGCAGAATAGCACTTAAGCAATCTGTTCAAACAGCTGGAAGCATCAGACATTTGTTTGAGGTTTGGCACAGGAAAAAAAAATATTGTTTTTATAAGTCTTAAAAAGGTCATTGATTTATTTGTTGGTAGTAAAAATAGGGTCTTGTTTTTTAACATTTCATATTTTAAAAGACAATAATTTGGTCAATGTTAGTTTTCCCTACAGCATTCCAGCCCCACATCAAATAAAAAATGTTTATGCTTCATTTCTTCACTGAATTTAAGATCCCATTTTTACCTCACAGAAAAAGAACAGATGGCTCACTGGAAAAAATCAATAGTACACTGTTGGGTACATGATCTGTGTTCTGTGTGTACTGAATTGAACTGCATGAAGGTGCCTTCCTTTAACAACACCTTTTATCTGAACCTCTGTCTCCCCTAGTCTCTGTCTCTGTTTCTCTGTCTCTTCCTCCACTTTTCTTCCGTTTCTGTCTCTCATCTTTAAAAATTCATTTATTATGTGATTTGGACAGCCAGCTGAGCTGAAAGTTACGATACTTTCAGAAAGGGATTAGGAAGTAGAACATAAATGTAATGAGAAGTATAATTCAGAACATTTCCAAGATATTCATAATTCATGGATTATGTTATATATTATTGTGCTTGTGTATTTTACCATATTATTAGGAAGCAAATTTTGTTCTTTCTTGCGAATGCCCCTCCATTGCTAGAGATAGCACAGGATTTAACAATGTGATAAATACATAAATATTTCGTGATGACTCTTTCATCCCACAATACCTAGTATTAATTATAGAACATTGGAAAATATATTTAAAAATAAGATGTAATATAAACTACTCATAATCTACCACTAACATACAAGTTATAATAATCTAAGGTTTAATTTTCAAGTGACTAACTCTTTCACTCTAAAGTGAATTCATGTTATGTGTATCGTTTGTATTAAGTGTGTTAGATATTCTTTGTATCAGACTGTTTATGTGTGTGTGTGTGTAATATGTCATCTTTTTAAAACTGTATACTGAGTTATTCCTCAGCCTTTTACAAAACAAACTGCTATTACAATGTAATAGAAACTTCCATTTCATAATTTTCTAATTTTCCTCTTTTTTTCCTATAAGTATTAGCAAGGAAAACAAATTCATAGGAAAAGTAATTCTATAAAAATTTAGTGTCAGTACATTATCACTGGTTAGGCAACTCTTGCTACATTACTGTTATCAGATTGAAGTTACTTTATGACCTGAACCTAAGAATTCTTGGTGTTTGGTATGTGATTTCTGGTCCTGTCAGCAGGACCAGTGGTGCTCCCTCTGAAGGAACTGCCCTGTGTGCTTTCTTTCTTCTTATAACCTTTTGCACTCTCAGCAGCATTTTTACTGTGTGAATGAAAAGGAGAAGAGTGCTGGCAAAGACCCTTTGTAATCACAGCTTCTCAGCTCTGTATTTTCGGTAGCTTTCATACTGAGGTGCCAGCTAAGGTGAATCTTTTCCCAATTGAATAAAGTTGAAAAAGTTATTTCAATTCCATTTTCCAGAATATGTCCTATTCTGATTTTCTACTTTATGTGCCTTCCTAAATATGGATAGAAATAAAATGAGCTTGAAATATTTCAATACAACACACATGATTATTCTGTAATAAAATCCTAAGATCCTAATCACACTGAGAGAAATCAGGAACAAAGGAGAAAGGAATTATTGGTAAAATTAACGATGATGACTCTACACATAAACTGGCCCTTAAATATAATCCTAAGTTTGGCAAAGATTTTTATTGTTAAGAAGAGCTATATGAGACAAGAGTTATGCCATGTTTAGCAATTGAGATACGAACAATGGACTAGTTTGCATCTATACTGAAAATTTCTTTCAGTAAAATTTCTTAAGAAGTATTTGCTGAGCCAGATATTGTGATGCATACCTGAAATCTCAGCTACTAAGTAGGCTAAGGCAGGAGGATCACAAGTTCGAGGCTAGTCTTGGCAATGTAGAAAGACCTTGTCTAAAAAAAAGTAAAATTAAATTAAAGGAGTGGGGGATGGAGCTAGCTCAGTGTTAGAGTGCCCCTGGGTTCAATCCACAGTACCAAAATAATAATAATAATAATTAATAATAATAATAATAATAATAAGTATTTTCTGGATTCAAACCAATAAAATACATATTGTGTTTGTGTGTTTGTGTGCTTGTAAACATGCAGAAGAATATGACATGTTCTAGTTATTTGTACCAGTATGTACAGTGATTGATATTTTTCTTTTTTTCTTTTTTTTTTTTGGTACTGTGTATTGAACTCAGGGACACTCAACCACTAAGCCACATCCCGAACCCTATTTTATATTTTACTTAGCAACAGGGTCTCACTGAGTTGCTTAGCACCGCACCGTTTCTGAGGCTCGCTTTGAACTCACAATCCTCCCAACTCAGCCTCCCAAGCCCCTGGGATTAAAAACATGATGCACCATACCCAGCTGGTTTCTGATTTTTAATAAATTTCATTTGTAATTATTTTGTTTAGTATCAATTAAGGTGTTTTTTTTTAATTTAGACTATCATGAAATATTCTCTGCATATGCACTTATCATGAAATATGCAGTTCTTTTAGAGAAATTATTATTTCCAAATGAATAAAAATTCAATAATATTGACAATGAATAGTAACATTTTTAAAACAATGGGAAAATACAGAGCTAGGACAATATATAAAATAAAAGCCAAAGAGCAAAGCAGATGTTTATATGTGATGTCAATGTACATGTTTAGTATTCTTAATCCAAAAATCACCAATCCAAAATGTTCAGAATATAAAACATGTGATGCCACAAGTGAAAAATTTCACACCTGATTTCATGTGATGGGTCATGGTCAAAAAGAAGTTAACTAAAAATGTATAAAATTATCTTTAGAAGATATATGTGAAACATAAATGAATTTTGTGTTTATATTTGGGTTCTTTCCCTAAGACACCCCACTGTCTGTCTGTTTATATATAGATAGAGGTCTATCTGCCTATCTTGTTATCTATATATACATAGAGAGATAGACATATGTAAATATTTCAAATTCTGAAAAAAAATCAAATTCTGAAACACTTCTGGTTCCATGAATTTTAGAGAAGGGAAGTTTAACCTGTACATCAAATATTCCTAACTTGGTATTAAAATTTGTTATCCTATAAGGATTTATGTTTGGCAAAGTCAAACTAGATATATGACCAATTATCATTTTTTTCTAGATATGTTGAATTATTATATTACTACTTACTGTAACTCAAATTTGGAATAATTTAACTTTTTATCAAAAGTAGCATGTTACTGAATATATTTAAAAAATTGTCTTCCAATTCACCAATTTGATATATGCTATGAATCCAAAAATGAAGAATTTGAGGATATATATCAATTGCATTTTGAAGATAATTTTGCAATAATTTTCTGAAAATATTTCAGGTAAAGTATGATAGTGATAGCTGTATTTAAGTACTTTCCAAGATTATTAGTTATCATGTGTATATATATGTGTGTGAATATATATATAATATACATATTATATATATATATATATATGTATATATATATATATATATATATATATATATATATATATACTCTTTTTTTTTTTTTACAAATTAGAAATATGTTCCTTCCTTAACTATCTTCAAACAATGGGTGCGCTGTATTCCTTGTCAGTACTAAAAAATTATTGTTCGCTTCAAAAAAAATCTCTTATTCACATTATCAAATATTTTAAAATATTTTCTTAAATACTATTTTACCAACATTTTTCACAAAAATTATCAAAATAATTTTAATATGACTTAATAAAAGTATTGCATGATGTTATCCAAATGTATTCTATATTATTGTTTTAATAAAAAAATTTGGTAAGTAAAAAAATCTATAATTCATGATGCAATTATGCCATACGATTAATAAAACCTAAATAGAAACTAATAAACATGTAGTGATTTTTGAATGAAAAGAAGAAAACTTTTTTTCAATACCAGGTATAAGAAAATGTATCTTGCAAACAGTATTTTCCTTCTTTGTCAAGTATAGAATTTATATATCCATAAAAACTGAGTATCATATTGAAGGAAAAATATTTTTACAGTTTTATATTTAAGCCTTTTCATGAAATGGTTTTTATATAATTTCACTTCAAAATCATATTTAAATCAACAATGGTGTGCCCTTTTACACTTATTTTTTCTGTGCATGAAAAATTAATTAGCAAAAATGAATACTATTCTTTACTGTCATTAAACATGGTTTTATGAAATTTCAATATCTTACAAAATTCTCAGCAGAATCTTAAAATTATAAAGATCACTAAGGTTTTAGAAATGCTATTTTACAAACAAATATGAATGTATGTTAAAACTTAAATAGCATGCATTATCAAAGAAAATCATTATTTTGTCTTACTCTCAGGGTGCAAATGTGAAAAAAAAAAGCAAGAGAAAATACCATTTCATGTCATGACTTACATAACTATTTAGGCTTCGTACATTTATGTTCTTTTTAAAAAGACTGTTTTATATATTCATTATTTTCAAATTACCAAAAAAAAATTAAATATGGATGCGCATGTCTAGATATCATTCAGGTTTGTGTCTCATATTTTATTGCAACTGTGTGCTTACAGTTCAGTAGCTTTGAGATTGCTAGCACAATGTTCTTATTAGCTGTGTGTTTTCTTTTCTTTTTTCTTTTTCTTTTTCATTTCAGAGGCTGGAGTTAATCTGAAGAGCACCACTTCTCTCTCTCCTGAAAAAAGTTGCCACTGATATTTTTACCGGATAAAATTTTAAAAAAATGTTTCAGTTCGCAAAAGCTAATTGTTGAACTGTTGTCCTAGAAGAAATTGTCCACAGGAGCTGAGGCAGAATTATCTGATGCCAGTGGAAAAGGCTCCATCAGACCATGGTTCATTCCCTTTTCAAACCATTTTTTTTTTCTTCTTACAAGTATTTTTTTTTAAGAAGGAAAGGAAAAAAAAAAAAACCTACATTGGCATCAAGTTCTGTATCAATCCATCTTACATTGCCATTCATGATTTAACAGACTGTAGAATCTTGAATAATCTATATCACTTTAACAAATAAATGTTTTACTATGACAGAATTTGCACAGTGCCTTATTTATGGAAGAACCTATTGCTTCAAGTGTGAGTGATGAAGTGAGTTTTTCAATAAAAATACTGTTTTATTTCTAGTAGTACAAAAACCTTGTAGAATCACCGATTTTCTATAATATTGGAACATTTTCTTCCATTACTGAGAATGGGCACCCACATCTATGGGAGAGCAATACAGCTATTTAAATAATCTTACAGGAGTTTTATGCCTCATTTAAGGCAAGAAGTAAAGGAGTCACTCTTCTTACAGTGGGACTGCAGGAAAGAATAAATAGGCACATTATTAATAATCCAATTTGATTCATTGCTTTTCTTGATAGTTAGGACAAAAGAGCCTTTAATAATTGCAGGGCTTATATGTCAATATAAGTGTCCATTTCTCTAATTCTGCACAATTTCAGGATAAAGAACATGCATCTGATTTAACACCAGCATATAAAAACTAGGATATCTTTGATGACTAACAAATGTGAATTGAGTCAAGTTTAAGCAGTGTCTACACAGCTTTTAAGAGCTTGTCTTGGTTTAAAGTGGTACTGAGATGTTTTAGTTTGGCAATATACCTACTATAATCTTCCAAATCTAATACATAGCATAATATGAAAACTTGTAGTACTTGGCATAAGATAGAAGTTTAATTTAAAAAAAAATAACCTTTTATCCTCAATTGAAGTCACATTCTCTAAAACAAAGTCATGTTTCTATTCTTCACAATTTGGGTATTTCTATTATAAGCAATAAATATTTTTTAAATGTCTCAAAACAAAAAAAAAATTTGCCTTCAAAATTTCTAAAATGATCTTTTAACTGTTCCAACCCTTATTGACTACTACCAGTATCTCAGCCTCCATAGACAATTTACAGAATTTCACCCATTGGAGCTTCAGAACTTGGAAGCTGTGCTCAGGGGCTTGCCACATTAGAGACACAGACAAACAAAATGCATGACTAAAACAGAAGTAACAGATTTGAGTTGCAATTTTGTGGATAATTAGTGAAATTGACAATTTACCTAATTCTCTGTTTCTTGATAAATCTAATTCTCTGAAACAATCCTGTTTATGTATGTGGAAATATTTTACACATATACATGTTTATATTGATAAAAAGGAGACAAACAAGAAGCATTACCTTTGTAGATCTCTCTTTTTTGGGGGGTTGGAGTACTGGGGATTGAACTCAGGGACACTCAACCACTGAGCCACATCCCCAGCCCTATTTCTTATTTTATTTAGAGACAGGGTCTCACTGAGTTGCTAAGCGCCTTGCTAAATTGCTGAGGCTGGCTTTGAATCTGCAATGCTCCTGTCTCAGCCTGCTGAGCTGCTGGGATTATGAGCATGCGCCATCACTTCCAGCTGTAGATCTCTTTTTATACACAACTTTTCAAATATACAGTGTCAGAAACAAGAATGGCTTTGCTTTGGTGGATCTTGATACAAAGTAACATTTTGAGGTCTCTCTTCTGAAAACCTGCTAGCTTTTTTCAAGGGCATTATACTGTTTATCCTTATATTTCATCTAACCCTTGCTTTTCTTGATGGTGATACCTCCTCAGCAAGTATAGTCTGACCTGTTATGTACTTCTTCATTTCTTTAGAATAATTGTGCTATTGTTTTCCATAGAAAATAATTTTTAGTGTGTTCAAATTAAAATTACACTTCATCACTCAAAAGTCTTTGCACCATGTCTTCTACAATTAAATAAAAAACTTCCATTTATGTATGTGTTCAATCAAGCATTAATCAAGCATTTATAATGTATGCATTTTCTTTGTTTAATGTTGTTAAGAAGAGGCACAGTCTGATTCTCAAGCTGTGCAATAATAAATTGCTTTCATGCAATGATTACACTTGTTATACTAAAGAGATTTAAGTGAACACTGGTGTACGCATATAACACTAATGATTATTCATAAATGGAAGTTCTACTTTTATGAAGTGACAAAATAATATTCTGAAGATAAGTTGAGAAATTATTTCAGTAGAGCATATTATAATGTCCAGGAGTAAGAGTGAATTTCAATGAGTGTCAAATATAACATAAATAGACATCAACTTGTCTTTAATATATTTCACATTCCTGAGACATTTTGGAAATAATCCAGTTGCTAAAATGTATATTGTAGGTATGAATACTTGTAGTTCAACTTATGTGAAATCTTACACTATAGCATAAAGCACATCAAGCACATACATAAGGAATTCAATGTTTGAATATGATGTACATATAGCTTGGATAAGTAAGGTAGACTGAAAACTATAATTTACATTTTGAAAATACACAATCATTATTTTTAAAGTCCATAGTAAATGTAGAGCTGAATATTACCAGTAAAATAATGTTATTGGTTGAAATGAATATGTTACACATAAAATAAAGCTTAAATAAAATTATCAATTTCATTCATAATTTAGTAACTCCCAGATTAGATTTTTACAAATCTTGCTTGTTAGTTGCATCTTATGCTTTTTCGTATATAGAGAATGCTTTATGTACTTTGTGGGGTTATCCTCCAGACATATTCACAGACTCAGACTATTTTTTTCTTCACTCTTTTGTACTTACTATAAAAAGTTGTCCATTGTTTATTTACCTTTTTATTTTCAATATTTTTTTACTCATGTTTTACAGGTCTAACAATTAAACATATGTGCATGTGTCTATCTGAATATATCAAGATATATGCAATTATTTAAAACTACAAATGTTGCAGAATATATTATGTACAAAGTGATAGTTTCTAACAAATGACTTTAATATATAAGTGTAATATATAGCAAAACTGCCTACAATGTTTTTCTTTTTTCTTTCTTTCTTTTTTTTGTATTGGGGATTGAACTCAGGGGCACTGGAATACTGAGCCACATTCCCACCCCTATTTTTGTATTTTATTTAGGAACAGGGTCTCACTGAGTTCCTTAGGGCCTTGCTTTTTGAACTTGCAATCCTCCTGGCTCAGCCTCCCAAGCAGCTGGGATTACAGGCATGTGCCATTGCACCCAGCCCTACACTGTTTTTCTTAAAAGAATTTTCATTGTGAATAAATATAAAATGTGATAGTTTATCCATTTCAAGTATAAAAGTAAATGACAATTATATTCACCAATGTTGTATAATCATTGTTACTTTAAAAAGATAAAAATAAATTTAAAAAATTATTTAAAAACTGTATATTACCCCAAACATAAAATATACACATTTAGGAACAATATTAACTTTTCTCTCTCTCAGCCCTGGATAAACTCTGAACTGCTTTTTTCTCTATGAATTTTTCTATTCTAGAAATTTCTTACAAATGAGATCATATGTAATATTTGTCCTCTGTAAATGGTTTATTCCACTTATAAAAGTTTAAAGATTATTGTATGTTGAGTTTTACATCAGGACTTAACTTCATTTTACAATTGAGTAATATTCCATTGCATATATACCTTTATCTATATACAAATACATGTGGTGTGTGTACACACACAGACACATAAATCACATTTAACCATTCCTTTTTTGAGTTACTTATGTTGTTTCTACTTCTTGACCATCATAAATAATGCTTCAATGATGTAAAGTTATCTGTTTGAGTCTGTTTTTAATTCTTTAGGTCTATATATTTAGCGGTATAATTTCTAGTTTACATGTTAATTTCAGTATTGATTTTTTAAAGCTATTTAAGGAACTGCCAGTTTGATTTCCACCAGAAATACACCATTTTACATTCCTTTAACTAAGGTATGAGGGTTTTAGGGTTCTAGATTGTCATCCTTGTAATGTTCAAAAAAAAATTGTTTTCATTCAACTTGTGTGAAGTACAGTAATTTGCCATTTACAATAAGGAAATATTCTAAGAAATGCTCTATTACGTGGTCTTGTTGTTATGCTAACATCATAACATGTTTTTCAACAAATTAGAACAGCTGCAACATCACTAAGCAACACAATCTTAAGCGTCTAAGGTCATATACGCGATTTATCACAGACTGGTGTTACGCCACATGTCACTGCATTTCACTGTGGTCGCATCTGTATTCCCCGGTGACTAATAGTGCAAAGTGTTATTTCATCTTCTTAGATAATTCTAAATATGCTTTGAAGATAAATCTACTACATATTTTTTGAAGATATATTTACTCAAGTATCTTGCTTATAGAAAGAAGTCTATTGTTTTGCTTTTGTTGTTGAGTTGGAGGAATCATTGCTAGTACTTTGTCAGATTCATGACATGTAAATATTTCTGCCATTTTGTGGGCTATATTTTGACATCTTTGATTTTGTTCTTTGATGAATAATTTAAATAAGTTTGAAATACAATTATGAAGTTTTCTATTATTTCCTTGTTCTTTTAGTGTTTTCTCAAAGAACCCACTGCAAAACCAGAAGACAAGAACCTTTATCCATATTTTTCTCTAAGAGTTCAATCATTTTAGCTCTTATATTTCAGTGGTTGATTTATTTTGAGTAAAGTTTGCTTATGGCATTGATAGAGGCCCAAATCTATTTGTTTATTTACCTATGTGTTTTTTTAATGTGGAAATTTAGCTGTTCCAGCATTATCTGTTGAAAAACTGAGACTTTCCTCATTTATTAGACCAGAAAGTTTTATAAAACATATAAACAAGCAAACAACAACAATAGCTGGGCATAGGACTATGGGTTTATCTTTAAGATTTCTATTCTAATCCATTAGTTTACATGTCTGTGTTTATGTCAGTACCAGAGCATTTTGATTACTGCAGTTATATAAGTTTTAGGATTGAAAAGTGTATGTACACCAGTTTGTTCTTCTTTTTCACAATTGTTTTGGCTACTCGGGGTCCCTGAAAATGCCATATTAGTCTGAAATTTGTTTTTTCCATTTATATAAAAAAGGGGGGTGGATTTGTGCTGGAGTACTGAAAGAGATGACATTAAATTTGTATCTTGCCTTGGGTAAGAATGATAAGGTGTCAATACTCATATTTTCAATCCATGAACATGGGATGTCTTTCCACATATTTGTGTCCTCATTCATTTCTTTCAACAATGTTTTATTAATATTAATAAAAACAACTTATTCTGTATATTGACTTTTTTACTTGAAACTTTGTGGAATTTATTGTTTAGCTCTAGTAATTTTCTTATAGGGTTTTGAGATTATCTACATATAACATCATGCCATCTGTGAAAAGAGATAATTTGTTTTTTCCATTCCAATTTATATGCCTTCTGTTTTCTTTTTCTTGACTAATCTTACTGGCTTGAAATTTTAGTAGAATATTAAATAACAGTGGCAGAAATAGTCATCCTTGTGCTGTTTTTGATATTAGAGGAAACCTTTCAATCTTTCAAAATTAGTGTGGATTTTCCATAAATGGACTTTATCATGATAAGGAAAGTTGCTTTTGTTCCTATATTTCTATAGTGTCATTATATAAAGTTCATTATATTTTATCAAATGTGTTTTTTTAGTGTCAATTGAGAAGATCTTGTGGACTTTCTTTAACCACAGTTCTATTAACATAATGTATTGCATTAATTTTCTTATCTGTAGTATCCTGTACATAGCATTTGTAGGATTGCTACATGTTCTTTGTGTATAATATTTTCAATATGCTGATAAACTTGTTATGGTAGATTTTGTTGAGGACTTTGTACACACACACACAAACATACACACAATTGATATTTGTGTATATTTCTATTTCTTTGAGATATAATTTTTTGCCTTTTCATCAGGACACTATTGATCTGGAATGAGGGAACATGTGAGTTTTACTCCTGTGCGTTTTTTGTTGTTGGAAATTTTTTATTGTTGTTTGTTTGTTTTTTGAAGAGCTTAAGAAAAATCAATGATAATACTTCTTTAAGTGTTTAGTAGAAGTCTATTGATTTAGGGGCTTTATTGTGGTAGACTTACTAAGATTTTCTAGTTTCTCTTAAGTCATTTTTGTAATCTCTGTGTCTCTAAGAACTTTTCTGTTTTTTCTAGGCTCTCTAATTTGCTAAAGGGCAATTGCTCATAATATTTTGTTATGATTAATGTTCTTTCTTTAAGATTAGTGCTATCCAATACTGATTGGTGCATTGAAATCTCCAGTCATTATTGCAGAACATTATTGCATTTCCACCTTCAGTTTTGTCCATGTTTGCTTAAAATATTTTGGAGCTTTCTTTGTTAATTTGTATAAGTTTATAGTTGTGATAACCTCTTGATAATGTAATCCTTTTATCCATTATAATATTCTTCTTTGTATCTTGTTACAATCTTCCACTTAATGTCTATCTTTTGTGATATTAGTATAGCCATTATATCTTTTTCTTTATTATTATTTGCATGGAATTACTTTTCCATTCTTCCATTCTCAAGGTGTTTTATGTCTTTAAACAACATATTTCTGACCAGCAGCTAGATGATATTTTTTTTTTATCTTTCTGCCCTTCCATGAGTTTTGATTGAAGAACTTAAACATCTTTTCCTCATTTGCAGTTTATTAGAAAGTACGTACTTGGCTTTCTAAAATTTCCTATATACACAGGTGTTTATGAGTGATCTAATTTTCCAAGAAATTTCTTCCTGAGACTTCCTAGTCTGTTTCACATCTCAGTGCTCTCTCTCTCTCTCTCTCTCTCTCTCTCTCTCTCTCTCTCTATATATATATATATATATATATATATATATTAATATATATATATATATATATATATATATATATATATATATTAATCCCAAACATCTGCAGGTTGTTAGTTTGCCCTGCTGCACTTTTGAGCTAGGTCTGCTATTTCTCTGGCTAGAAGTTCTAAGTTAGACAAAGTAGAGATAAGAACTGTGCATCAGTATTTCAGGTACTCCACAGACAAATTAGAATGAACATGCAGAATAATTTTTGAATAAGACTGAGTCAGATCCCTCTAGTAGCAAGGACCAGAGTCCCAAACTGAACTTACTGCTACTTTAAGACGCTGTTATGTTGGAAGGGCAAGGAGCAAGAGTATACAAAAATATGACAATGCCCCACTGCCATCTTAAATTTCTAAATTCATGTTGTCCATGACATGAATAAGATTGTAAAGTTTTAGAATTATAATAATTACTTACCAAATGGATTCAATTTAGTTTGAGATCATCATTTATTAGGTATAAATTTGTTGTGTATGTTTTGGTTCCCTTTATCCTAAGCTATCATTGTTGTTAATTCTCTTCATTTTCTGTCTTCTTTCATTTTGTCCTTCTATTTGAAAATTGGTTTTAAGTACCAATGTCCACAATCAACCTTTTTAAGTGACTCAAATTCTCGCCTGTCTCTAATTATCATATTACCAACTTTTTAAAACACCACCACCAAACTACATTTCCTAGCCTCCTAATCATCACAAAAAGACTGTGTTCTTTATATAGGTCAATAAAGCAGGTAGTAAACAGCATGTACCTGGCCCTGTAGATATGAATTAAAACTGGAAAAGAAATTTAACTTTTTTACTTCCAAAAATATACAAAATCTATCCATGCATATAAATCACAATTATAATAATACAACTTGTATGTAACTATATTTACAAATTAACAGTAAACATGCAATATTATTGTCGCACACATGCAGCTAAAGTAGGATTCAGCAGGTTTTTGAATGGATTATTTAAAACTTTTTAATGTTATAGCTATTATTATGTGCTGTAAAGGAAGAGGAGAACTGGGGGTGCCCATAAAAATATGGAGTAAGATGGCATTTTATAATTCCTGAGAAGTATGAGGTACACAAAATTCCAGAGAAAGTAAGAACAATCTAGTAGGTGCAATTTTTTTCCAATTGATTTAAGACAGGAAAGTCAAAAAGTCAAGAATTGCAAGTTATCATCTTAATTCATACAAAAAATATTTACTTGAATGTGTTTGATTTTTTTTTAAATTTGAATGAATTTCTGAGTGAATTGATGTAAAAATTATCACAAAAAGTCTGGAATCCCACTAAGGTCTCTACTGTATTTTATAAGTAATATTCAAACAATTCTAGCACTTTTACCTAACTTGTTCAATTCTGCAACTATTTGTTGCATATTTAGTGTGTCTTGGATCTAGTACTCTCCCTGGAGACACAAAAATAAAGACTCAAAGACCTCCCACACATTCATATGTATGTAGTAGTTAAACACAGGAACACACAAAAAATGATATTTCTAGGCATTGAGGCCCAGAACTCTGGAAGGAAAGTACAGACCAACCCAATGATCAACTGAACAAGAGAGGTGAAAAAGAACTTATACAATGGTGCTTCTTCAGGTAAGTAAGATTTAATAATCATCCTTATGTGTTTCTGGATTCTTTTGATGACCTAGCTAGAGAGGAGATTAAGTGATCTTTGAGTATCTGAGTTTATAAGAAATCAATGCATTGGGCATTACAGTTAGCAAAGGGGCTAAAATAACCACTTTTCATATTAGTAAACAAATGTATAAACATCATATTCTAATTGAAGATATAATAGATGTGTGATGATAAGTACAATAGATATACTCTGAGAAACAGAAAAATGGTTATCAATGTTTACATGTTTCTGAATTTGAAACCTGAGAATATGGGTGATCAAACCTGAAGATAATGGAAAAAAAAAAAAAAAAAAACAGTAGAAAGTGTTATTTCCATCGTAGCAAGTATCATTTTAAGTTTGATGGCAACAGGAACTTCAGCTTTGAGGCTGGAGAAACGTAAGTTAACTCTGGAGCATAAAAGATAGTTTGTCACAATTCCTGAGGCCTTAATCACCATCCTGCTTTTCTCTAGGAAAAGAAAATTATTTTCTACCCTGAACTCACTGATGAGACTGCACCCAAAGTTTATTTTTAGTTTCTTGACCTCGACTACTTTAATTTACTCAAATAATTTCTAAGGTCTCCATTCAAAAATTATTTAATACTCCCTTTTCTTTGGTGGTTGCCTGGACTGAGCTGTTGATTTTGAATCAAGCAAATCAAGAGCCTTTGCAATTGTGAATATTTAAAATTTTCTGTGTCATTCCTTTGTATTTCTATTATATGTGTGCTTTTCCATTGTATGGTTTTTATTTATTTCTTTCATTAGCAATAATTTGCAATTTACATAATTTAAATTCAGGAAAAAATACATTGTCACTGTGAGACAAATATAAATAAATCTAATCTCATTTTCAGAAACGTAATGATGGGGTTTTTCCCCAGTAATTTCATGTTGACATTTTACTAGATTCTACTATTTCTTGAATTGGCTTCTGACAAATAAATGCAGTGACATATTTGAATGAAAACTTTTGTGTTTATATTTATTATATATTTTCCAATATTATAGAAAAATTAAATTTGATGCATATATCTATCATTTCCATCTTTCATTTTGTGAAAATTTTTTATATCACTATATATCATATAGATATTTTATATAAAATAAAATTTTTAACAACTAAATACCAATAACACTCTAATCTTTCACGGGGTAGAATCTAACCACTGCAAGTTGATCATTCTAAATTCTAGTTTTTATGGTCTAGGAGTCTTATAAGTTTGTCTATACTCTTTTATTGCAAGAACATACAGCAAAATGTAGCAATTTCTTTTTTTCAAAGGAGTATTTTCAATATATATATTTCTAATGTAACCAGATGTTCTCTATAATATTTTTCAAACTTTATTGGACATCAGAATTATCCCCCAAATTCTGTGTCTGACTGTTTCTAGGACTTCAGAAAATCTTGCATGGATTGAGCATCTAAACCATTGGCAACCTCAGCCTCATCACCTATAAGTGATTTTGCAAGATGCTCAAAGAATAAATATCTAAGAAGTCTTAATATCTGGAAAGTTGAAAATTCAATTAAAAGCATTTGGTCTTCATAAGTGATTTAAAAATTATCCTTATAGGAGTGGGGATGCAGCTCAGTGGTAGAGCACTTGCTTCAAGTGCATGAGGCACTGGGTTCTATCCCAAGCAACACACACACACACACAAAAAAAAATCATCATTATTATTAGTATTGACTGATGTTTATACAGATGCAAACATAGAACATGTGAATTTCATGAAAATTAATGATTTGTTTGTGACAAATTCAGCTGTTTCTCTGCTTTATTATGTTAATTTTTTTTCGTAAAATATGTATTTATTATTTAAAATGAAATATTTATTTTCAAATAAATAGAAAACTATTTTTATTAAGTCTGGCTGCTTTACTGTCACCATATCATACTATTAATTAATTCACAACTTGGAGGACTTTCATATACTAAATATACTTTCATATACTACAAAATTTATTTTATAAAATGGCCCAAATATTCTATACTTGCAATTTTAGCTTATTCCATGAACATTTACTCTTTTATAATACATTGTTATAAATTATTATGGAATTAATTATATAATTTTAATATTCTAAAAGAATTAAATGCCAAAATAAATTATTAGTTTATCTATAAATCTATTTATCATTTTGAGTATTAGCTGTCAAGTCAAGTATATGGAAATCACATTAATGTTTACCAAAGAAGAAATTACTGCATAAGACAGTAGTTATTGCATTCTTTACAATTTCAAGTCTCTTAAAATGTGGCCAAAATTGTGATTAGTAATTAAAAAAAAAAAGACTGATGCAAAGGAAAAGAGAAAATCATCATTATCAATTTTAAGAATAGTTTAATGATGGCAATGATTTTTAGTTGATTAAAATGGTCAAATTTCTGGACATGCCTGTAATCCCAGCAACTCAGGAGGCTGAGGCAGGAGGATTGTGAGTCTAAAGCCAGTTTCGGAAACTCAGCAATGCCCTAGGTAATTTAGTGGGACCCTGTTCTAAATAAAACTTTTTTTAAAAAGCTGGGGATGTGGCTTTGTGATTAAGTGCCCCTGAGTTCAATCCCAGTATAGATAAATAAGTAATTTTAATAAATTTCTTTTCAATTAAATACAAAATGTCTCTATATCAATAACAAATTATGTTTAAGTTGTACTACTTATTCTTAAACTATAATTTTTTAAATCAACTACATTTTCAGATTTTTATCTCAAGATATTTAGTATAGACTTAATTACATGTTAGTTTTTTTCTTAGTTGGTAACACAATTCTCCCTTGGTATCAAGTCTTGTAACTATGAGTGTTGTAGTTCCCATTATTAAAGGTTTTCCTTTTATTAATATATATT